ATTCCACGGAAGATGTCAAGTTCATCTGAGATGTCAGGGAAGAATGTTGAGACTTCCGAGCTGCAGACAATGGAAGATGAGCATGCAAGACTGGTGTTGCCAAGTGAATCAAGAATATCCAATTTTGACCCTCAACAGGTAGTTGAAAAAGCTACTTCGAGATCGTACATCTGGTGGATGAAAATTCTCTTTTTCTGCTTTCTGTTGGTGGTACTTAGTTTTGTCTTCGTCAAATGGGGACTACCGTTTGCTTTTGAGAAGGTAATGTCAATTATCTTCAGCTATATTATTTGTTCTGCTATACGTTCTTGTCTTCTGAATACAAGTGTAGGTTACTAATTTTGTTGTTCTTGCAATTGCTGTGAGCAGATCTTTTTTCTGTGCATATCTCATGCTATTTCTGTAGAAAATCTTATGCAAGCCACAATTAGATATACAAACATGAGGACTGTCATGCATGTCAGGCATGTGTCAGCACAAGCTGAAACATATTTTGCCAAAAACACATTGTTGGCATCATGTCAAGTGCCAACATATGGCTAGGACAAATTACTGACCAACATACATGATGATTCACATAGCATGGAATCATATCATGCCCAGTAGGTATCAACACACCCCTGTGCCACAATATGGCAATCTTTGTACATGCTTATCATGAGTTGTTGGCTAGGTCTTGAAAAGTTTATTCCTAAATTTGCTCGGTAACTCTTTATTTGTTGATGTATTTGATGTTCCATTTTGGACTAGAGAGTTCTTTGGTCACACATATTTCATCTTGTAATTGGTTGCTTGGTGGCATGCTCTGCTGTGTCATATGCCCTTTTTTTTGCAGTAGAGTAATGTTTGTAGCTTGATCTCAACCGGACAATCCAAGCCTAACATAACATTAGCTTTGCCCACAAATAAGTATACCCATAAGTTGCTATTTCGATGAGCATAGGTATCTGTATACCACCTTGTTATAGTTCACATATGATGTGAGATTACCGAGGGTGCTAATCTCTTTCATACAAATCCATATCAGTCTTTTCAGAGACAAATATTGGTAGCTCCACCTCATCAGTGTTTGCTCCCTGGACATATTAGTTGTCACATTAGCTCTGATACTGCAATTATCTCAACTTGTGTACCAAAATATTTTGGTTCTGCTTCTTAAAAGAATTCAAAAGTTACTTGTTTAAGGGATGGATATCAACTCAAATATGATCTTATGTCATTGCCACTCGAAACGATCGACTATTTCGACATACATGCATGCTCTACATGGTATTATATCTTTAGAAACTGGAGAAAAAGTGATAACTTCATTCATATTGACAATTCAATGATCAATTGAACTACTCTGCAGGTTCTCCTGCCAATTATGGAGTGGGAAGCAACTGCTTTTGGGCGGCCTGTTCTTGCTTTGGTACTCATTGGATCCTTAGCTTTGTTCCCAGTTTTGCTAATTCCTTCTGGGCCATCCATGTGGCTGGCAGGAATGATATTTGGATATGGTCTTGGATTTCTTATAATTATGGTAGGAACTACCATAGGCATGGTGCTGCCTTATTTTATTGGCTTACTGTTTCGTGAACGGATACATGTAAGACCTCTGAACTGAATGTCCACTTTTATCCATGGAGACCAACCCCCAGTGAATCTTCATTTTTTGTGACTTTTCTTTTTTTTTTGATTAATTGTGACAGGAATGGTTGAATAAATGGCCTCAGCAGACTGCTATACTTAGGCTGGCTGGGGAGGGAAGCTGGTTTCATCAATTTCGAGTCGTTGCGCTCTTTAGAATTTCACCATTTCCATACACAATCTTCAACTATGCAGTAGTAGTGACATGTATAAAATTTGGTCCTTATCTCAGTGGCTCTATCGCTGGAATGATACCTGAAGCTTTCATCTATATTTATAGGTTAGTAAATCTGCCCGGCTGGTAATATGGTTATGATGTCAAACAAACAACCATAGGAGTCATGACAAATCATCATGATGCCCCATATTTGTTCTCCTTTTTGTTCTTCTTGCAGATAGATCAAGTATTTGCTTAACCTCTGATTCAAAACCAGAATGAGTTTTAATTATATTTTAAAGGGTTGAGGATGTGAAACATCTAATGATCAGTACCTTATTCCTAATTTCAATTAGTCCTAACATACCATCATCTTGACATTGTCTTTATGTTTTCCGTTTCCACAGAATCATTTGTATCTCCTCCTCATAAGGTTTATGACTATTTGGAGAATTATGGCTAAATACTAAACCTTCTCTTCCTGCTTTTCTTTTGGTGCAGTGGACGGTTGATACGCACACTGGCAAATATGAAATATGGGAATTATACCATGACACCGGTGGAGATAGTTTACAACATCATATCCTTTGTCATCGCCATTGCAATCACAATTGCCTTCACAGTATATGCAAGGCGAGCTTTGGGTGATCTCCGAAAGGTAGAAAGCAGCATTAGTGGGGGCGACAACCTGAATGGTAGTTCGATTGAACTTGAAAAGCTACCACAAGAAAGACTAAGCATACATTCTTCATCAATCAGTAATGTATGATATAACAAAGCTACATGCTCTTGAAGGTACAGATATAAGAGGAGGAATTGGCGGACTGACCCGCAATCTTTATCAGCGGAGTCAGGAGAAAGTTATACATGGTAACTTTTGCTCGACGATTTTTTTCCCTTTTTTTCCAGCTTTTGTATAGATGGTGCACTGCAATTTTTTTGCTTAAAATGAAAATTGCATTCCTCTTGAATTGCTGTACGGTACATGTGTCGCTTATTGAGTCAAGAGTACAAAAGAACATTCAAATCACTGAGGGTTCAATTGAGCAGATTGCAGTATGAAATTTCCCTCCATGTGTTAAGCTATTCTTTTTTTGTGATTACCAGTTTTACCTCTAACCATAGTTCACAGACAATAGTGCAGGTATACGATGAACGGACGCATCGTTGAGAAGGTTTGTTCTACATGTCGCTCGGGTAATTTCGATCACTTGACTTGTTAACTATGCACTCTCTATGAACAATCTGGTCATTGCTTATTAGCTTGCAACAGCATCTTTGCGGTCATGGTGTTTGATTCTTATTGCTCAACATGATCCATCATGTCTAAAGCAGGCAGGACCGGACTCGTACGTTAGCTCAATCAGTGAGATTAGAAAGCTGAGCAACCTGCGTTGTCTCTACCAACTAAAAGCACAGAAGTGGGGGATGGCCTCATGGCGCACTCAGGTCATGGAAGCACCACCTACTCGTGATTCCCTTTTTTGTGATAGTTAGACATTGGCCATTTACGTTGGAAACTTCTAATACTGCCGACAAGGAAATAGCAAGTTGTCTGTGGTATTATGATATCACATGAAAGAGACATCAGCAGCTCTTTTATTGGGAGGCGGCGGTGGCGGTGGTGGTGGTTGAAACCGCCTTTTGTTTCGCATGAGTCCACAAGCTTAAGCTTGCTGTATTCCAATTCTATAATTCCACGAGTGTGATTAAGATAATTATAAAAAATAATTATAATATTTTTATTATAAGAAAAAAAATATTATAATATTTTTATCAATTAAAGTGTAAGTTTTTTTTTTATCAATTAAACCAGTCAACACTTTCAATAATTATAATATTGGTTCAAGATGATGAGATATCTCATATCTCATAAATATGATTTCATATCAATCGTATATCATATGAGAAAATAACTCAATTTATTAATCTCATATACAAGAAATTATTAATTAAAAATAAAAATATATTTTGTCTTTTTTAGAAGATAAAATATATTTTAAATAGCTTGATAATCTTTCTTTTTTTCGTTGTGTTCTTTTCTATTCATAATTAATCTAAAAAAAAAGAAATATTTTATGATATTATTAATTCAGTAATAAGTAATAATAATAATAATAATAAAACACACCGTGCAGAAGCTGCGCATACGGCACACGATTTGGACGGAGTCTTGTCGTTCCACCGTGTTATTTGGTCTCGTAGCTAATGAATCCCCATCACGATTGACATGTTGGATGAGGTCGACTCCTCGATCGCATCATCACCCGAGACTGTATCAAACACGTAAAAGAAGAAGAGATCACTGGGATCTCGATGGTTGTTGAACCATATTTTCCAACCTCGATTCCGAGACAGCGACGCTCAAACATGTCAAGAACACAAAGCTCCCACCCATGTAAAGGATTTACCAGCGTCCAGTTTCTATGTCAATCGAGTCCAGTTTACATCGCAATAACGATGCGCCCAAAGGCCTGCAGCAACAAATCCGAGGAAGGAAGGAAGAGAGATGAAGCTTTCTCTCTGGTTTTACCTGCGAACATCTCTCTGCCCGAGCCGTCCTACACTTTTGCGCCGATGATGCTGTAAGTCTCGGAAGCAACGAGGAAGAAGAGGTAATCCGAGATCGCTACTTGCTTTCGGATCGGTGTACCATTACTTGTCTGGAACGAACTGCTTGTTCTGGGAAGCAATTAAGCGAGGCCAGCATGGGTTGGCCTGTCATGTCCTTGCAGCAGTTGATTTCAACCTAGATGTGGCCTCCTTTGACGACAGCTCATTGTTGTAATGGATTATTCGCTTGTAGTTCTTCTTTCTTTCCTTTTTTTCTTCGAATTTTCATATTATATACAAATATTTATTTCCAAATAAATAAAATATCATTTTATTATTATTTTTTAAAATATCATAAATAATAATAAGAAGAGTAATATATATATATATAGTGTCTCCCAACCCAATGAGTAAATAACCATACAAAATACATGTCGCTCATCGGCGGATGTCTCCTTAATTCTGATCCTTAATGATATGTCTCCATGTGCATAAACTAAAATACAAGCATCGTCCAAGCGGAGGCGACACCGTTGCGGGCCCGCCAAGACAGCTTGTCTTGGACACGCGTCCGCATTCCATTCCCTTCGTTCTCCATTCCTATTGGCGGTATCCGTTTGGGTAACGCTTATAGGCGGTAGTTAATGAAACCGAAGCGGAAGAATGGTGGCTGCTTAGCTTTGGTGCGTCGTCTTCGCTGGGCAAACCAACACGGCGGCGACCGATTCCCACTCGGTGCGTAGGAAGTCCTTCTCCAATAGCGACGTCATATCCTGTCTACGCCCGCCCTCCTTCCCCCCCCACCCCCGCGGCCCCACCTACCCGATCATGCTCCGATCGGTGTTCTCTTGATGCCTTCTCCTCTCCTCCGCCGCGGCCGCAGTCCCTTCGATTCCGTGCGGGGGAATAGAAGTAGCAGCAGGGGGAGCAGCCACGATGGCTTCGATCCGCCGCGCCCCCTTTGCCGCCGTCCGTGATCGCCCCTCGAAGGGCCAGTCGTTGCTCGGCCGGCCTGCGCAATCCTCCCCCTCTCTGCTCCATGGCCTACGATGCCTCCTCGGCGGCTTACCCGCCCGTAGAGGCCCCTGGCGCCGATCCTTCCTCCGCGCCCTCCTCTTCGCCTTCCTCGTTGGCTTCTTCTGGGGCCTCTTCTCCTTCCCCGACCTCGACGACGCCGGCAGCCTCGCGCCGCCCCATGGCTTCTTCTTCGACCCCGTCCGCTCCGCGAACGCCACCGCCGCTGAGGAGCCCGTGGATCCTTTCAGCAAGCTGTTGATCATCGTGACCCCCACGTACAACAGGGCCTCCCAGGGGTACCACTTGAACCGCCTTGCCCACACGCTGAAGCTCGTTCCCCCGCCTCTCCTCTGGATTGTCGTCGAGACGAAGACGGCCACCCTCGAGACCGCCGACATCCTCATGAGGTCCGGCGTCATGTACAGGCACCTCGTCTGCCGCAAGAACACTAGCGTCAGCCTCCACAGAGACGTCCGCCAGCGCCACACCGCGCTCAAGCACATCAGGCACCATCGCCTGGACGGCATCGTGTACTTTGCTGACGACGACAACGTGTACTCCCTCGACCTCTTCGAGCGATTGAGACGGATCAGGTACTCAATCCTAACAAAGCTGTTTCATTGTTCTTCCAGCGTAATCTGCCATAATAGTAATTCTAGTTCTTTCCAGATGCCGCCTTCAATGTTATGACATGATGAATTAGATGCAGTGCTCAGTAATTGCCCCAAACTTTTACTAACCCTAGTAAGCTAGTCGAATTTGCACTTCCTCATCGAGGATGAAGCCCCATAATCAAATTGGGCTAAAAAGATCATTTTTCTTACACGGCAAGAAAGAGGAAATGTTACCAAATGTTACCAAATGTAACATGTTGCCGAATTCATAATTGCCTAATTATTTTCTGAGGTAGACAAATTATTGCCTACCGTAAGAACCATATGTTTCTTGCGATTCCAATGCTCAAAGTACATGCATTTTTAACAGAAAACAACAATTGACTATTATGGGCAAGTGCTGAACCCTTCAAATGCTTTACATTTCGGCACAATTGCTTTGCTTATCAAAAAATAACAGTACAGGTGGATCCTAAACTTAATGGTTGTAGTTATCAGTCATCGTTGCTTTGCATTAAACCTGTTCTCTATGTCTGTTAATTTCTTGGGTTGAATCACTTGTTCTGTCGATCATACAAGTGAGGAAGTTTGATATATCATCGTATGTTTCCTGTCAATGGAGGTGACCTTCATTTGTTTGCTCTGAAGTTACTGCTCATCAATCCGCTACTAAATTAGCCTTCGTTTCTAACTACATGAATTACTTCTGCCTGAACAAAGGTTTATATTTGTGCCTGTAGGAGATTTGGCACTTGGCCTGTGGCAATGCTTTCTCAAAGCAAAAATAAGGCAATTCTCGAAGGCCCAGTATGCAGTGGAGGTCGAGTGATTGGATGGCACACGAACGAAAAGGGCAACAATCTCCGGAGATTTCATGTTGATATGTCAGGTTTTGCATTCAACAGCACCGTACTATGGAATCCTAAGAGGTGGATGTACCCAAAAGATGCCATTGAGCTTCTGGACACTGTATCAGAAGGTTTTGAGGTGCGTCTTTTCTTTCATTTTTCACATGTGGTTTTTTACTTGCTAAATAAATACATTTTTTTTTTCTTGTGGCTTCTGTTGAGTTGAAAATTTTTAAGCTATTTTTATATGAAATCCTAGCATCAAAGATCCAGCTTTTGCAACCTTTCAGCCTGTTTAGGCCGTCTATCTTATTTAGCTTCTATTGGTAGGTAAACTTCCGTCCTTTTCTACAGTACTGTGATATATATTGCAAAGGTTTAAGTGTTCTTACATTTTAGTGGTTATAATTCATAATTAAGCAACCCTGTTTTGAACCATTAAAGATTTCACATAATGGTCTGCGGTAAAACCAAAGTCAAAGAAGCTAATCCTCGTTCTTATCGGAGTTCATTTTCAACATAGTCTCCTACTTTGGTTAGATTAGTTGTTATTTCTCCTCCACTATTGCATACTATTTGCCATTTACCAAATCCATTTTTTAAATCATAATGTCTGCAGGATACAGGATTTATTGAACACATAGTCGAGGATGAACACCAAATGGAAGGCTTACCTGATGATTGCTCGAGGATTATGAATTGGCGTATGCATTTGGAAGCTAAAAATCGTGTTTATCCTAGGGGATGGCAAACCTCAAAGAATCTTGATGCTATCATTCCTTTGAAATAGGAATTATATTTTTTCAAAGGTACCTACCTTTGTCTTGACTCTTTAACTTTTTGGTTATTCAACTCATTAATTCTTTGTTTTATGACTATTGTGTTGTTTCTGAAGGTATTGGGCCCTAAATTACTGTTCATCCAATATTTGTCTTTCTTAAAATGTCCACAAGATCTGTGCCATGACGGTAATAATTTCATTTACTTAGTTGGATATCAATTATTTTAAATTATTAAACAAGATATACATATGATAATGTTTTGACATTTATGTTTATACCAATATATAACATCGATAACTAGGCTTGTCCTTTTATTTGTTTGCCCATTTATAATGATCTCAAAAGTAAAATGAAACAATTTAAACAGATTCAAGCACATATTGGTATCTTAATTTCTCAAAGTGTTCCAGAGTTCTGAAAAAAAAAAAAAAAGCAACAGTATCGAAAATTAGGTTCTTTTCAAGGTTTGCAGGAATGGTGGTGATCGATCGATCTACTATAGCAAACATGTTATATGATGAGTGAAAAGAAGTGAACAATATGCTCATTTTCTATGGGTTGCTTTAACTTTCATTTTTACAAACACATCATCTTACCTGTGCAGTTAGGTGATTCAGGGAGGAGACAGACCGCTGCAGTACCGAGCTTTGAAGTTGAAGGGAGCCATTCTGCTTCACAGCAGGGCATCTGCTCATGGATGGCCCGGTGCCGCCATTAACATTGCATTTAATTTGTATTCGTTATTCTTTGAGAGGACCATCCTGGGTTTTCTACAGGTCCCCCAATGTGTACTAGGCGTAAATAACATTTGCTGAAGAGGCACATCATAGAAGAGTGATTGCATTTACAAGAAGCTATCTTAGCATTGATTCTATGGTTAGTATTCTGACTTAGAGTAGACGTTTCTGCAGGCGTTCAAATTTGAATGATGAATGATGAATAGTAAGGCGTTTGATAGGAAAACAAATGTGGAATATGTAATTGTTGAATGATGAATAATAATAACACAAATGTGGAATGTGTCAATGTTGAATGATGAATAATAACGCCTTCAGTATGTCTACACAAAGATACGATAGTACAAAAATAAATTTTAAATTTTGTTAAACGATATAAAAATTAGAAAATATTTTGAAAAAAAAATACAAAATGTATAACACAGGTCCTCATGTTTTTTAAAATAATATTTAATATATATACTAACTAAAATTCATGTTGAAATGTATTTAAATTCTTTTATAATT